CATGATCATTGCTCCTTTTACTGGTTAGTTTTATGTGATCTTGTGATTTTAAACATTGTGAGTAGTTCTGGCTAACGAGGATGGTGTTTTTATAAGTTACGTCTACTTTGGTAGTAGTTGTTACGGGTACATTTATAGAAAAATCTATCTACCCGTGAATTGATGGCAGAAATTATAGAAGAAGCTTCAATTTTATTTATGAAAATAACAAACAAATTTGTATGATTACATTTGAGTTTAAGATTCTAGTAGCTTCTGGAAATCAAGCAAAAGATTCGACAGTTGTTCAAATAAGATAATAGGAACACTTTGTTACTTTTTAAAATTCTTTTGGAAGCTTCGCAAGATTACTGTTCGATCGAAATATTTTCCCGATTCTTTTTATTTAAGAACAACATTTTTGAGGAATTACCGATCATTATTATCACGGTACTTCATGTGCTTATTATTCATCCAAAATAAATTCAGAGAAATAAATGTTAAAAAGAAAGTTTGGTAACTACTAGTATTAGAACAAAATATACGCACCTATTCGGATTGATTTTGATATGGTAATGATCAAGTATAGTAGAAATGTTTTTTCTAAATAATTATCGAATTTGCTGTTTGACAAAAATAACCATTCATAAAATCAGAATTTTTTAAAAATATATATGTGATTGACTTAAATACATCTTCAGACTGTTATATGTTATATCCCGCGAGCCGGATCGTGGATGCGCACTGCTGAGGAGTCTCACAACGGGACGAAACGGCCGTCCAGTGCTTTCAGGTTTCCAAATGTAATCTGACATCAGTCGGTTCATGATCTCAATCGAAAACATGATGATTTGATTTATATGAATATTCGTCAAGATTAGAATGAACAGTTTTACAGAAATTGGGCGCCGAGTATAGAGAAAATCATTATATGTGGAAATTATATTTGAAATAATCTCAGCGATCGAAATCTACATAATAATTCCAACGTTTCGTTCAGCTAACTGATCTGGACTTCTTCAAGGTAATAATCAAAATCATCAAAGAAATATATAACCCTTTAACAATCAATCAGAATAAATCTATACTGTGCTAATCCAATCATATTTGGATATTGATTTTAGTAAATAGGAAAACATGACTTAGTTAAATGCAAATAAATGACAGGAGCGAATTGTCTGTGTGTGTATATATGTATGTGCAAAATTGAGTTAATAATGAATGATATTCGGTGTTAATATGTTTTAAATGAAGGAAAGATTTGAGTGCGTGTTGAACGTTAAAAAAAGTGTTTCTGTTGACGCACATGTAAAATGAGAATCATGAAATACAAAATTGTATTGCTGAAAATAACTCACATTATTTCAAGTCAAAATAACGATGCATGTGAAAAAAAACACGGTGAATAAACAAAGGGTCCAATTACTTGTCAACGAATATTTGCCAGTTGAATACTATCCTTTCGGTTCAGGCTGTTCTTGTTCGCCCATATATACAAGGCTTCTGCGGCCAATCTTTCTTTATGAGTATTAAAACGTTTCTGAAGTGTTTTGGTCCCTTCAAAATTAATGTTCTGTCCTGTCTTTAACCTATGTATCTCTAACGAAGACCTATTCTCAAGTTTCTTTATGTCAACCGATGATTTGGGAACAGTTTTCGAACACAATTTGTGTTCCCTCAACTTTACATTTTTCAGCCTTCAAATTGCACTTTTATTTTTTCTTCATTTTAAACATATTAACACCGAATATCATTCATTATTAACTCAATTTTGCACATACATATATACACACACAGACAATTCGCTCCTGTCATTTATTTGCATTTAACTAACTCATGTTTTCCTATTTACTAAAATCAATATCCAAATATGATTGGATTAGCACAGTATAGATTTATTCTGATTGATTGTTAAAGGGTTATATATTTCTTTGATGATTATGATTATTACCTTGAAGAAGTCCAGATCAGTTAGCTGGACGAAACGTTGGAATTATTATGTAGATTTCAATGGCTGAGATTATTTCAAATATAATTTTTACATATAATGCTAATGATTTGGTGTTATGCAACCATTCAGCGATGAAATATTATCCTTTTGTTTTTTGTAATTACTATTATTAACTTATATATTAGTTAGAGTTTACGAAAAAGTTATCCTGATAGATACAAGTTGACTTATATGAATTTTCTATTGGATTAGACATTCTGTCAACTACACTTTATATCTTGAAGTCAATCATCATGTCCTTTTCTTCACTTAAAAATAACTAAAAGATTTTCTAACTCTATTAGTCAATCTACATATTCTCCTGGTTAAAATTATTTATTCAATGACTATATCTACTTCTAAGAAAAACATCTTCCTACGCTTCTCATTTTCATATATATATATTCATTCCACTATTGAAACTAATGTTAAAGGGAAGAAAATTATTGGAAGACTCTTTTTCCTTCAAACCGCATAAATTAATTGAAGATCAGGATTTTGATTTACTTATAGTTAATATTGCCGTTTCTACTGCACGATAAAAAATCTGTTAATAATAGTTATATAACGCGCGTTGAACAGTTAAGAGGTTTTAGCAGTCAAGACATTAGTTCTCGTGTTTAGAAGGAAGAAACTCTGTGTTTGTAATTGGATTTAAGGGTGAACATAAACTTGTCAAAGACAATGTGCCTTCATTTCCATATATATATGTATTTTATTCAAAATAGCTTCCACATTATCTTTAGGATTTTTATATTCAAAACTGCAGTGTACAGTTTTATGAAATAGGTAACTCTCCAGACAACTTAAGGTACTACAAATGTACTTAAAAATAATTCTGATAACTGTTCGACAGTCCGACAATATTTTTATTTGATACAAATTTTTGTGAAAATCTAGCCAACTTGACTACTGTGTTTGATGAAAGAGGTTCGTAGCTCAGTTAGAGACGTTTAATGGTCACGTATTCTCTAAGTTGGGTCGTTTAATTGTGAAGCTTTCACTGGCGTTCTGGATAACATTTACATTTAACACAAAATTCGCAATTAATATAGTGCGATTAAACCCTTTAAATCACAGGCCGCAACCTCACTAAAAACTCGTTTCTATTTCATCATTAGCTGATAAACATTAATTGTTTTATCATAAGGTGTAGCAATTATTTAGTTTTCAATAATTCTAATGATAATATATCAGTATGCTATCTCTTTTACTTTTGCTATACAAAATAGAATGTTAAAAATAACTAACACAGTCCTAATAATAAGGTTGGTTCTTTCCGTAATTTTTGTCAATCACTGACAATAATGACAATCTAGATTAATAAACAGTCTAGTTAATATTCATTTATTATTTCTAAAATGGTTCCACATGCAACATACATACCTTTAAACAAATCATTGTACAAATATGCATCATAACACCAGTTTGCCACACACAATATCAATACAGAAATATGCAATTTAAAAGGTGAATAACAAATGAATTGTTGGTTCTAACAATGATCAAAAGACTAGATATACAAATGTTAGTTCATAAAACAATGTGACAAATAAATTAAAGTACATGACTTAACATAGAAAATAAAGAATGGATATATTTGTATTAAGCCAACCTAAATTAAATTATGTCATGGAAGGTCCTCAACCATTTATCGTGTGAAACTCAACTAAGCAAGATAGTATAGATGATATTAACTAATCCGATTAAAACCAACAGGTTTATGAATAAGATTTCTATGAATGACTTTAGAATTTTGCAAACTAACAACAATAATAATAATCAGAAAACCTCATTTTAAATGCTTGTTTATATTATCATTACTACATAGATTATTAATATTATCAAATCAATTAAATAATGACATCAAATAGATAAATAATTCATAACACTGGTTCTTGTTTCCAATGGTTTGTTTACTGTTTAGAGAATCTTTCCGAATTCAGTGCTCAAATAACAATTTGATATCCATCATTATTATTACTATTAATATGGAAATAATATAACATTGAAGAAATGAATTAACCAATTGAATTGTAAAAAGAAACTGTGTGCATGATCAGCTTTGTTGTTGTTGTTGTTCGAATAGTATAATATAATGACAGGTAAATCACAAATTGTCTTTTTCTTTTTACACTCTATAAATGAATATGTATCTATAAGCATTTCTATATAAGTATGTATATATATGTATATGATTACTAAGAATAGATAGAATGTATTCGTATTCATACTTTCAACAGAATTAAACAAAATAATTACATAGTAACAATGAAATAAATCGAATATTATAAAAAAATATGTAATTGTGACATGAAATAATTATCTGAAAAAAAAAAAGAAACTTATGACTACTTAATTGTCATTAGATAGTAGTAAACAAAAATAAAATAAAATCATCTATTGGAACAGATCCAATATTTTAAACAAATAATAATCAAGTTTGTTGATAAATAGAACGTTTTACATTGTGTTCTTTTTGTTTTTGTTTCTCTCAAAACGTCTTGGTAAAAGAACTATGAATAGAATGTTCTGGATAAATAGGATCATTTATTAAATCTATTGTTTGTTGTTGTTGTAAAAAATTCATTGGTATCACAATTAAACTTAAAATACACATAACTGAACCTTTTTTTAAGAATGGAGAATAGAATATGGTAATCATACAAAAGGATTGCACAAGAAGAGAATAGTTATATATATATATATATATAGTGTAATTTATAATGAAACGAGAAAGTTGGAATCAGTTTTTACGACTTTAGAAATTATACTGATATTAATAGTAATAATAATAATAATAATTCATTAAATAAATAGGCCATAAGAACAACGACAACAACAAAAAATAAAACAAAGAAAAAGCGACAAACAACAAAAAAATATTGAATAAAATATGTATTACATCTATATTGATTTTATTTATTTTTTTATCTTTTTTTGTATGGTTGACATGGAATTATTAGTTCACAATATAAAATAAATTCAACCCTCTCTTCCCTCCCCCCAAAAAAAATAAAAAAATTTCTTTTCAAATAAATGACCATATTTCAAGTGTGGTAATCACAAAATCTGGTGATAATAAAGTTAATTGTGGACTATCAAATGTTTCACAATTGACACTATGTCCATGTAATAAATTATCATCAAGTTGAATTGCTGAATGACCTCTGAAATAAAATAAAATCATGAAAAAGTATGTAGAAAAGAAAATAATGAAATGATCACCATGAAAAAAGAACAATGTTGAAAGTAAGAAATAAGTTGAAAAAAACTGTAGGAAAAAAATATTGGATGCCAGTTCCATGGTCTAGAGGTTAAGAGTTTGAACGTGAAACCGAGGGTTCTAGGTTGGAGTCATGTATACGGAATTGTTAGTAAGTACTGTTGAAAAGCTTCATACTAGACCGAAATAGCCTTTCAGTGCTTTTAGATTTTTAATAGTGGTCTAACTTAGATCGATTGATGAACCCAATTATTAAAAAGATAATAGCTCGTTCGTAATACTGAATTCGAATGACAAAAATGTACACTTTAGGATATATTATTAATAACTGCTTGGTAATTTAAGGAAACCTATATGTTTAGTAAGAATTCATTTCAATTTTTCATGCACATATTTATGGATAACTGAGGATTAGAGAATGGAAATTACAAATATGGTATTTTTTCTTCAAGCTTTCATGTATCTTAGTGACGAGTCTTTTCTAGTACAACACCACCAGTCTATAATAATTTGAGAATTATTAAAAATTATGATATGGTACACATATATTTCATTCTTTTATAAAACTCTCCATTTACAGTCACATGATCTACTGGTTTCTCAGAGAAAATAACAGTCGATCAAGACCATATACCTTAGCACATATGTGTATTGCTTCAAGTTGTCGCATCATGTCAGCACCGAAAGACGAAATTATTTAGATGAATATCAGATTCCTGGAAGCAATAAGAATTTCATCTGTTGTATGAATTATTAGACATATACACTATGATTTGTGAATAGACAAATTCTTGGAAATAAAATGTTCAAGATAATCCCAACAAACCAAACTAAATGCAAAACAATGAGTGAATGCAAATACGCCACTACAACACAACTTCAAGCCAATAGGACCCAAAGTTTTCAGCTATCGCTCTCAATATCACCATCATTATATTGAGTGGAATCTAATTCTTCATACACGATTATCATGTTTTTACTATTAACAGGAAAATGTCACACTCATATGATCAAAAAATTAACTGAACGAACCTTTAGAAATCCAGTTACTATTAAAATATGTACAATTTTTTTTTAACTGTCTCTGGCTTTCTAACATTCAGTACATAAAAACGTATTGTAATAGTGCTTGATTAAAGATTAAACTAAACGCATATTGAATAGTGGAAGGAATAAAAAGGATAAAGAATCAGCTAAAAACGTGAAGATAATAATAATATCGAATAGCTAAAATTAAGAGCATTAGAAGGATATAATAAAACCAAATTACAGTTTAAGAGAATTAAATGTTAAGGCTATGGAAAAATAATGGCTTGCACATATCTCTTTTGCACATAGAGCTCAGGTTTAAAAGATGGATTCCTAGTGACCCAGAAGTGCATACGTTACTAGTTTGCGCATCTTGCGGACAAAATCATCTGACTATATAGACGATTTAAAAGGACATGTCAACGCGGTCATGTGACTGAAGTTTACAAGATGTTCTAATATTGAACTATTGATTGATTTACAGTCACCTTTCAAAAGCCACGCAGGATAATGTTCGGAGATGCGTTTGGAAAGAGTTCGCTTTGTGCGGCCTATGTAGCCTGCTTCATAAGAGCAAGTGTACTTATATATATAGCTGATGAATGATGTTGTTAGCAATGTTAACTAGTTGCTCATACGGAAGCAAGGAAGGATGATATTTACAACTATGATCTAGCAAATAAGACCCGAGTGATTTTATTTTTACAAAGTCACTGCTAAGCTATGTTACTTGACTTCAACATTCATTAATCAATTGCATAACTGATAAGCATTTTCAGTACTATTCTCAACACTAAAATCAGTGAGCATATTGGAAATATTCAGAAAATCTGTACAAAAAGTGCATATTCATCATAGACAGTTAAATTTGTTTACTGGAATAAGAATGATTGGCTGTTGATTCATCTGAAAAATTCTTCAGAATAGAGAATGAATGTTTATTATAAAAAGTCAGACCTTAACAAATTATTAACGCATACCATTGTATATAATACAAGAGATATTTTGACATTATAATTTATGGACAAACCAATCAAAAATAGGATAAAAGGTTTTTGATTTCAGCGCGAAATTCATTCATCCATTTGTCTAAATAGCGTTTTGACATTTTAGTTGATATCAGTTCGTAATAGAAGCCATAAATCTAATTCTTAACCCTAACCATCAACTGTAAATCATTATCCTTATTCTACAAGCTGTTTCATAACTCTCATCTAGCCCTAGTAAGTAGGTGGATATCCTCAAGGTCACTTGTAGCGTCGCTCAAATGTTGTCCCTCAACTATAGTCTTACCGACATTTTATTTAACACAAACAAGTAAAATATGTAGTGAATTATTACTTTCTAGTCTGGTAGAACAAATAAATACTACACGATTACTTGGAAAAGCAATAAACTGCATACAGCTTTTCATTAAAAAAATTTGGGTTTAGATATAGTGAATATGGTGATCAATCATGCTTTTAATAATGTACACTTCATAAGTAAAAATGATTTGAATCAAAGTCGTAATGGATTTGTTAATTTGCTTTAATCTTACTAGTGCTTTTAACAGCTTAATTAAAAGATATACACCCATAGTTTTTCTTCGAATATAAACGTAAACAAGATCCTAACTTATTCTGGAAATCATAGACTATTTGATTCCTTTCATTCTGCTAATATAAACTGATAATTATTTCCAAATAAGTTGACTTAGAATCATTAAGTTTTTCGATATTTTTATAATGTGAATGTATTTAGAAAACAAACATATTTGAAATCATGAGTCAATTGAAGCTAGACTACCATGGAAAACCTGAAAGCACTGGACGGCCGTTTCGTCCTAGCATGGAACCCCTCAGCAGTGCGCATCCACGATCCCGCCCCCCACAAAATTCGAACCCAAGACATATCAGTCTCGCGCGCGAGCGCCTAACCATTAGACTACTGAGCCTGGACTCAACTGCATTTCCTGGAGTTCTAATGAGAAGCCGTGACCAGTGGAGTTCAATCAGGTCTGTTGTAAGATGTCAACTCGCTGAAGACAATGGTATACGGTGGAGTAATTTCGTGGATTGTTTGAAGTTAGACATTAACACTGTTGGATGCCGGATCAGTGGTCTAATGGTTAGGCGTTCGCGCGCGAGACTGAATGGTCCTGGATTTGATTGTCGCGGGTAGATGGGATCGCGGAAGCGCACTGCTGAGGGGTCCCATACTAGGACGAAAAGGCCATCCAATGCTTACAGGTTTCCCGTGGTGGCCTAGTTTCAATTGACTCATGATTTCAACCATTGAAATTTCTAAAATCTCCACAAAACCCCTTTTGATAAAAAAATATATCCTTGCAATGACTAGATTAATATCAGTTGATATATTCAAGTTTCCTTAAAATGCCTACTAAGACAATTTATCATAAGAAGGAATAACAGAAGAAGCTATGTAATTTAACTAACCCATATATAAGATAATTTTTGAAATATTGTAGCATAAAATTAAATATTCAACTTGACCAATCAAAATTCCTCTTTATCCAAAATTTTTGTTCGTTCTCATGGTTACCTACCGATTTCTAAATCTAGTAAGCATTGTAATAAATAATGTTTTGTTGATTCTATCTGTACAGTTATTGTCATTATTATTACTAAGATTATTGGTTATCTTAAAAAAAAAACAACTATACAGACCATTAAACAAAAAAAAACATTTCTAACCTAGAAAAGAAATTTGTTTAGTATACTAAACGAAGTCCATAAATACTTTGGTCAAATGATAAACCAAAATGAAAAGAATAATATTTATTAACTTAACTAAATCACACGTAGAGAGCACGTGTACTTCTACTTTCCAATGTTATGTTGGTATTTCTATGTATCTATTTGCTTGATACTCTTGAAAAGTTATACACACATATATGTGTATACGAAAAAATCGGGATAGAAAATAGAAAATGGAAATAAAGCAAAACAAAATACAAATCGAAATTCACTTACTGAGAACATCCTATGGTAAGTGAATCATAATCACCATTAATAAAATAGGAATTTTTACCGCTCCATATAAATTTCTAAAGTAACGTTTATAAAAACCAATTATAATGACAATAATAAGTAGTAGGAACGAAATATAGAAAAAAAAATTAATATGGATTTACAAACGATTTAAAATACAAGTGATAATAATATTTCAACAAATGAGATTATTTGAATGGTTGAGATCATGAGTCAATTGAATCTAGACCACCATGGAAAACCTAAAAGCACTGGTCAGCCGTTTCGTCTTATTGCATGACCCCTCAGCAGTGCATATCCACGATCCTGCCTTGCGAGATTCGAACACAGAGCCTATCAGTCTTGTGTATAAACGCTTAACCACTAGACTACTGAACCGGCATCAAACAGCGTTAATCCACGAAATTGAGTTACACACCCACCAATGTCTTCAGTGAGTTACTATCTCACAACAGACCTGGTTGAACTATACAGGTCACTGCTTCTCACTAGAACTCCAGGAAATACCTCTTGAAACCAGTCACTAGTGAGCATATGTTGATTCATATCAATTGACTCATGATTTCAACCATTGAAATTACTACAGTATCCACAAAACCCTTTCTGAAATGAGATTATTTTGAAATTGATATCCATTGACAGTATAATATTTTAGCTAATTGTTTATATGAACGTGGTGAAATATATCATTGCACCGATAATTAAATGAAGGATAAGTTTCTGTTTAGAAACATATTAACTTTATCAATTTTATCGAATGAAATTGTTGATATTCAGTTACTTATGTTCAACTTAATAGGCATAAATAGAAAGAAATTATTAGATTTTTGATTGAGATTATTAATCGACCAATGTTAGACCAGCATTGAAAACCTTCAAACACTGGATGGCTGTTTCATCCTAGCATGGGACTTTTCAGCAGTGCGCGTCCACGACCTTGTATATCGGACTCGAACCTAGGACCTCCGGTCTCGCGTGCAAACGCCTAGCTTCTAGACCACTGAGTCGGCATCCAATGGTGTTAATGTTTAATTTCAACCAATCCACGATATTGCGCGACCACCTTCTATTTTCTTCGGTGGGTAACTGCCTCACACCCGACATGGATTAGCTCTACTAGTTACAGCTTCTCACTAGAACTCAAGGTTTTCAATGTTAGTCTAGCATTAATCAATTCATGATCTCAATCAAAAGTCAACAATCTACACAATCCCATACTGTAGACTATTAGGTATTGTTTCGTTTATGACAAAGTAATGATGAATATTTTATGACAAATGAAATGAACAGTATATCTATTTTTATTAGTACTGTCATTATCATTATTATCAGTTGATTTACTTGGAATGTTTGTTTTTTATCCTGTTCTGGAAATTCTCTTTTATCATTATAACATAAATGCGCGAATTCCTTAGTTACAGTTTCAGTTCTCATATCCAATGATGACGAAGATGAGACTAGATCAGAGTTATGATTGTCTGTTACTAATAATACCGATGATGATATTGATGCAGAGTTTACATCTACTGGTATATTCATTAATTTATTAGAAGTAACTGATAAAGATGTAGAATCTTGTTCATTGATTGAATTACTATTTTCTTTGAATTGATCTTGTTTTGAATCAGTTGTATTGATCCATCGAAATACAAAACATGATCCATTACCATAGAATCGACCATTACTTGGATAAGGATGTGTATTAAGCATTGCCCCAAATATCTAAGTAATTAGAAAAGAAATTATGGAAAAATTTGTAAGTATCAATAACATGGTTGGATTTGATAGTTTTAAATAGATTAAGCATTAGGTAGAGGTAGGTCAGAAATACAAATTTCTACTTATTGGAATATTATAAAAAATATAATTATCATTATAGAAAAATTGCTTAAAGCATTCTACATTTTTATTAAAAACACGCAAATCATTAAACGAAGAATATTATTTTTCAATATAAGTTCATTCCAGGTTCTACAGTTATAAATCCCCCTTTAATGATCCAGAAGAATGGTCAAATATCAGGCAAATACATGTTCAAAAATAATAATAATAACATATTAATTGAGAACTTAATTCTACTAATGTACATACAACATTTCACTTTGTAGTTTCATCATAAGATAGGAATGATGTATTTTAACGTTTTTCAATTACATGATTTTTGTAGTGGTCCGGGATCTGACTCCAATGAGATCGGTATTAGTGATCGCTATTGAAAAATGGCTATCGTAATATATATGTTGCCCATATACGTATTTAATCATCGACTTGACTAGTGTTAGTGAATAATGGAATTAAAATAATTCAAATATGAGAAAGGATTTCGAATACATATATTTTTTACACTCATTGATTTGAACAGACAGAGGGACGAAGCGAATAGAAGAGAACGAAGTCAAATGACGCACGGTGGAGAAGGCGTGTGAACCAACTTCATTTAATCAAGCTTTAATTAATATTTATAGTCAGATAAAAAAAGGTTACAGACGTGTGATGAATAGGATAAGACGTGTACACACATATACGCTCATATAAAAACAGTCGGGATTGAAAAGTGAATAATTATCAAAGTCAAAACGTGACTCAAGAAGAATGGATAAACTGACCTGTCCAGAAGCTAGAATAAGCTGTGTCGGCTTAACATAGCGACAAACATTACAATCTTTTCATTATACTTCATAACTTAAAAAAATTTATAATCATTCACAATGTCATTTTGAATTTTCTGCTAACGGTTTGTCTTGAGTTCCAGATCGTCTTCTTATTACATTATCGAAATTCATCAAAGGGACTAATTTCTTTGAATTTGAAAGTACTTAATTGTCTCGCAAAACAGAAATGTAATTTATAGTTCCAAACTCTTTTTTTTGATAAATAGTTGACCAGTCATTATGTTAAGATAATTTCAAGTCATTATAATTATCAATTAGACTTTACAGATCATATTCAGAGAAGGGATTACTCTTCAAAGAAATAATTCTCAATCTAAAATGATCTAATTCTATTCCTAACTAAATCTAACAAGTCAATAAACATAGTCAACTAATCAGGTAACATTTAATTATAGTGTGAATATAGTGAAATAGTTAAAATTATAATCTATTATAGTTTATGATGATGCCGAATTTATCAAATTGTGTTGAAATTCATGAAGATGGTCAATTGAAGTGTAAACATTTCATCAGAAAAACTGGGATAAATGTATTAAGTATTTTTATGACACTGACATATATTTTCATAATTTATAAAAATTATATGAGTGATTGAAATAGAGTGAATTTGATGCATTACTACTCAAGTTCATTATTCACTTGTTATATTGGCTTCTGTATGTTATTCAGTAGGGTTTTTTTACAATTATTGTGTAAAAGTTTCAGAACTATTAATTAGGAGTTTTGATAAAAAGTTATATTAATATCACAAATTAGAATAGTTAGAATAATATTCACATGTGACTGCTCCACCTAAGGCGAACGCGAGATATCCGACTATCAATGAGAGAACGAGTATACTGCGAAGTAGTTCGTTCTGTTCTACTTTACGGCTGCGAAACGTGGCCATTAAGAGTAGAAGATATTCGCAAGTTACTAGTATTTGACCACAAATGCCTTAGAAATATTGCTCGCATCTGTTGGGATCACCGTGTAAGTAATAATGAGGTTAGACACAGGGTATTAGGAAATGATGGTAAATCAGTTGATGAGGTTGTGAATCTTCATCGACTGAGATGGTTAGGTCACGTGTTATGACTGCGTGAACACCGTTTACCACGACGTCCAGTGCTGACTAGTGTTGGAGATGGTTGGAATAAAGTTAGGGGCGGACAAACCAAAACGTGCCATCAATCCAGAAAGTCACTAACTTCTAGTCTGAACCATGTTGGTAGATGCAGACTACTTGGTTGGGGTCCATGTGACTATCGTAACCAATGGTTGGAGACTCTTGGTGACATGGCTCAAAATCTATTACAATGGCGTAGGTGTATGCACTCTTTGTCTTCCCTTGAACCGTCGGATTAAAATTACTTTATATCTTTCCTTTATGTATTACTACCATTAAATTAACTACTTCTATGAATTTGGTGTTCATCTTGTTGTGTTAGTGAGGTGTAGCAACTTGGACCGATGCATATATGTCGCTGTTCCTACGTTGTAGCTGACTGACTGACTGGTTTTAAGGTGAAAAATATGTTTTTTCTTCTTCAAATTACCTTCAAATTACTCTCTTGCCAGATTGAAATGAAAGTAATTTTTATCATTCCAATAAGAGCTCATTAGTTATTAGTTGAGATAAATTAAGAATAAAAATACCATTGTTCGCTTAATATATATCTATGTAAAATAAATAAAATTTCAGTTACATGAATGATGTCTAACTTGGTCTATCAATTAAATATAACATACTATATCTTAACAATCATTTCATACATTGTTCCTAAGTGAACCGAGATCTAACTCCATTAGGATCGTATGATGATCATAAGTAGATCTTAACAAATGTAACACTAAAATATTGTCTCTCTCAGTGATCTGTATTTAGATATATTTTTACTAATAACTAGAAAATCGCACAAACTGCGTTATGTTAGTCTCATCAGTAAAGAAAGATTAGAGTTTACTGGTGCATTGAAGTGAATACTAAATATGTATCAATCAGGTTGTTAAGTAGTGATGAGTGATAATCATGTTATTTTCCGAAGGAACTATGCAACATTGGATTGTGAATTACCAATTCAATCCCAGGTAACTTGAAAATCATGTGTTTGTCTCAGTGTTGCGTTATAATTGCGAGTCAGATGTTTAACACATTCTAGTATTCAATGACTGGGCATTAGATTTCAGTACTCGAGTTTAGTTAGAGATAAAAAAATCATTTTACTAACCATTTGTCATTTTGTTTAAAATAATCTTTCTTACGGCACTGGAATATTACACACCATGTGTACTCTATATTTTCTTAAAAACATCATTGTTTACTCACAAACAAAACTGAACTTTGAATATTTTATTTTCCCAATATTTTGTATTTAGGAGTTTGTTTACAAAGTGTGAAGTCAACAGTTGGAGATCTTATAAGAGAGGTAAATATTTGTTTTCTAAATTGTGTTTACTCATTAATGTTTACAGGTTGTACTCAGCTGATGAAAATCTCATACAATTTAATCGATGCAATTCATTCTGCGAATATTATTTTGATTCGGATGTTGAAATTGACTAAAAAAAACTGATTTACAAAATAAGTTTGTCACGTATAAGTGATTATTTTGAACAATCATGTGATGGAGCATCTCATATGATAAATAGAATTATGGTGAAAACAAAGAAAAAACTATATTCGAATTTTTCTTAATATCAATCCAAAAAACACTCTCAACGAATAGATCATTGAATAAATAATCCAATAGAGAGACACTTGAGAAATATTGTGAAATTCTCCAGAAAAAAAAACACACTAGAAGTTCCATCATTAGATGAATGGAAGTTGAAAACCTAACCTCATTCGTTGATGTTCGTATGATTAGTATACATGGCTGATTTGATGCATGCGGTGAATTCGGTATAATAGTATGTTTCATTTTTGTATGAATAGTACCATGTAAATTATCTTTTGAAGATTCTGTCAAACTATTGGCACATCGACGATATAACGATCGTAAACTAAATCCATGCACAGAAGTACTGTAAGTTAATATCCAGTCTAAACCTTCAGCGTCAGGAGTTAAATTTTGTAAAAGCTAATTGAATAAAAATAAAATAAAAATTATGTAATAATCTACGATAATACCGTAAATAAATATTTACAAAACAAAGAAATCAGCGAATTCGATCAATTAATAAGCATAGAATGCTCAAAATATATAGAACTAAACTAAGCAAAATCAAAGGTAGCGATCATAGATAAATTCTAGATTTAAAAATGTATTACTTATTTGCATTAGTAGGAATACTTTTTAATAGAAGGTCCAAATGAAACGTGATTACTTATGATATATATATATATATATATATATATATATATATATATATATATATATATCATAAGTAATCACGTTTCATTTGGACCTTCTATTAAAAAGTATTCCTACTAATGCAAATAAGTAATACATTTTTAAATCTAGAATTTATCTATGATCGCTACCTTTGATTTTGCTTAGTTTAGTTCTATATATTTTGAGCATTCTATGCTTATTAATTGATCGAATTCGCTGATTTCTTTGTTTTGTAAATATTTATTTACGGTATTATCGTAGATTATTACATAATTTTTATTTTATTTTTATTCAATTAGCTTTTACAAAATTTAACTCCTGACGCTGAAGGTTTAGACTGGATATTAACTTACAGTACTTCTGTGCATGGATTTAGTTTACGATCGTTATATCGTCGATGTGCCAATAGTTTGACAGAATCTTCAAAAGATAATTTACATGGTACTATTCATACAAAAATGAAACATACTATTATACCGAATTCACCGCATGCATCAAATCAGCCATGTATACTAATCATACGAACATCAACGAATGAGGTTAGTTTTTCAACTTCCATTCATCTAATGATGGAACTTCTAGTGTGTTTTTTTTTCTGGAGAATTTCACAATATTTCTCAAGTGTCTCTCTATTGGATTATTTATTCAATGATCTATTCGTTGAGAGTGTTTTTTGGATTGATATTAAGAAAAATTCGAATATAGTTTTTTCTTTGTTTTCACCATAATTCTATTTATCATATGAGATGCTCCATCACATGATTGTTCAAAATAATCACTTATACGTGACAAACTTATTTTGTAAATCCAGTTTTTTTAGTCAATTTCAACAATCGAATCAAAATAATATTCGCAGAATGAATTGCATCGATTAAATTGTATGAGATTTTCATCAGCTGAGTACAACCTGTAAACATTAATGAGTAAACACAATTTAGAAAACAAATATTTACCTCTCTTATAAGATCTCCAACTGTTGACTTCACACTTTGTAAACAAACTCCTAAATACAAAATATTGGGAAAATAAAATATTCAAAGTTCAGTTTTGTTTGTGAGTAAACAATGATGTTTTTAAGAAAATATAGAGTACACATGGTGTGTAATATTCCAGTGCCGTAAGAAAGATTATTTTAAACAAAATGACAAATGGTTAGTAAAATGATTTTTTTATCTCTAACTAAACTCGAGTACTGAAATCTAATGCCCAGTCATTGAATACTAGAATGTGTTAAACATCTGACTCGCAATTATAACGCAACACTGAGACAAACACATGATTTTCAAGTTACCTGGGATTGAATTGGTAATTCACAATCCAATGTTGCATAGTTCCTTCGGAAAATAACATGATTATCACTCATCACTACTTAACAACCTGATTGATACATATTTAGTATTCACTTCAATGCACCAGTAAACTCTAATCTTTCTTTACTGATGAGACTAACATAACGCAGTTTGTGCGATTTTCTAGTTATTAGTAAAAATATATCTAAATACAGATCACTGAGAGAGACAATATTTTAGTGTTACATTTGTTAAGATCTACTTATGATCATCATACGATCCTAATGGAGTTAGATCTCGGTTCACTTAGGAACAATGTATGAAATGATTGTTAAGATATAGTATGTTATATTTAATTGATAGACCAAGTTAGACATCATTCATGTAACTGAAATTTTATTTATTTTACATAGATATATATTAAGCGAACAATGGTATTTTTATTCTTAATTTATCTCAACTAATAACTAATGAGCTCTTATTGGAATGATAAAAATTACTTTCATTTCAATCTGGCAAGAGAGTAATTTGAAGGTAATTTGAAGAAGAAAAAACATATTTTTCACCTTAAAACCAGTCAGTCAGTCAGCTACAACGTAGGAACAGCGACATATATGCATCGGTCCAAGTTGCTACACCTCACTAACACAACAAGATGAACACCAAATTCATAGAAGTAGTTAATTTAATGGTAGTAATACATAAAGGAAAGATATAAAGTAATTTTAATCCGACGGTTCAAGGGAAGACAAAGAGTGCATACACCTACGCCATTGTAATAGATTTTGAGCCATGTCACCAAGAGTCTCCAACCATTGGTTACGATAGTCACATGGACCCCAACCAAGTAGTCTGCATCTACCAACATGGTTCAGACTAGAAGTTAGTGACTTTCTGGATTGATGGCACGTTTTGGTTTGTCCGCCCCTAACTTTATTCCAACCATCTCCAACACTAGTCAGCACTGGACGTCGTGGTAAACGGTGTTCACGCAGTCATAACACGTGACCTAACCATCTCAGTCGATGAAGATTCACAACCTCATCAACTGATTTACCATCATTTCCTAATACCCTGTGTCTAACCTCATTATTACTTACACGGTGATCCCAACAGATGCGAGCAATATTTCTAAGGCATTTGTGGTCAAATACTAGTAACTTGCGAATATCTTCTACTCTTAATGGCCACGTTTCGCAGCCGTAAAGTAGAACAGAACGAACTACTTCGCAGTATACTCGTTCTCTCATTGATAGTCGGATATCTCGCGTTCGCCTTAGGTGGAGCAGTCACATGTGAATATTATTCTAACTATTCTAATTTGTGATATTAATATAACTTTTTATCAAAACTCCTAATTAATAGTTCTGAAACTTTTACACAATAATTGTAAAAAAACCCTACTGAATAACATACAGAAGCCAATATAACAAGTGAATAATGAACTTGAGTAGTAATGCATCAAATTCACTCTATTTCAATCACTCATATAATTTTTATAAATTATGAAAATATATGTCAGTGTCATAAAAATACTTAATACATTTATCCCAGTTTTTCTGATGAAATGTTTACACTTCAATTGACCATCTTCATGAATTTCAACACAATTTGATAAATTCGGCATCATCATAAACTATAATAGATTATAATTTTAACTATTTCACTATATTCACACTATAATTAAATGTTACCTGATTAGTTGACTATGTTTATTGACTTGTTAGATTTAGTTAGGAATAGAATTAGATCATTTTAGATTGAGAATTATTTCTTTGAAGAGTAATCCCTTCTCTGAATATGATCTGTAAAGTCTAATTGATAATTATAATGACTTGAAATTATCTTAACATAATGACTGGTCAACTATTTATCAAAAAAAAGAGTTTGGAACTATAAATTACATTTCTGTTTTGCGAGACAATTAAGTACTTTCAAATTCAAAGAAATTAGTCCCTTTGATGAATTTCGATAATGTAATAAGAAGACGATCTGGAACTCAAGACAAACCGTTAGCAGAAAATTCAAAATGACATTGTGAATGATTATAAATTTTTTTAAGTTATGAAGTATAATGAAAAGATTGTAATGTTTGTCGCTATGTTAAGCCGACACAGCTTATTCTAGCTTCTGGACAGGTCAGTTTATCCATTCTTCTTGAGTCACGTTTTGACTTTGATAATTATTCACTTTTCAATCCCGACTGTTTTTATATGAGCGTATATGTGTGTACACGTCTTATCCTATTCATCACACGTCTGTAACCTATTTTTATCTGACTATAAATATTAATTAAAGCTTGATTAAATGAAGTTGGTTCACACGCCTTCTCCACCGTGCGTCATTTGACTTCGTTCTCTTCTATTCGCTTCGTCCCTCTGTCTGTTCAAATCAATGAGTGTAAAAAATATATGTATTCGAAATCCTTTCTCATATTTGAATTATTTTAATTCCATTATTCACTAACACTAGTCAAGTCGATGATTAAATACGTATATGGGCAACATATATATTACGATAGCCATTTTTCAATAGCGATCACTAATACCGATCTCATTGGAGTCAGATCCCGGACCACTACAAAAATCATGTAATTGAAAAACGTTAAAATACATCATTCCTATCTTATGATGAAACTACAAAGTGAAATGTTGTATGTACATTAGTAGAATTAAGTTCTCAATTAATATGTTATTATTATTATTTTTGAACATGTATTTGCCTGATATTTGACCATTCTTCTGGATCATTAAAGGGGGATTTATAACTGTAGAACCTGGAATGAACTTATATTGAAAAATAATATTCTTCGTTTAATGATTTGCGTGTTTTTAATAAAAATGTAGAATGCTTTAAGCAATTTTTCTATAATGATAATTATATTTTTTATAATATTCCAATAAGTAGAAATTTGTATTTCTGACCTACCTCTACCTAATGCTTAATCTATTTAAAACTATCAAATCCAACCATGTTATTGATACTTACAAATTTTTCCATAATTTCTTTTCTAATTACTTAGATATTTGGGGCAATGCTTAATACACATCCTTATCCAAGTAATGGTCGATTCTATGGTAATGGATCATGTTTTGTATTTCGATGGATCAATACAACTGATTCAAAACAAGATCAATTCAAAGAAAATAGTAATTCAATCAATGAACAAGATTCTACATCTTTATCAGTTACTTCTAATAAATTAATGAATATACCAGTAGATGTAAACTCTGCATCAATATCATCATCGGTATTATTAGTAACAGACAATCATAACTCTGATCTAGTCTCATCTTCGTCATCATTGGATATGAGAACTGAAACTGTAACTAAGGAATTCGCGCATTTATGTTATAATGATAAAAGAGAATTTCCAGAACAGGATAAAAAACAAACATTCCAAGTAAATCAACTGATAATAATGATAATGACAGTACTAATAAAAATAGATATACTGTTCATTTCATTTGTCATAAAATATTCATCATTACTTTGTCATAAACGAAACAATACCTAATAGTCTACAGTATGGGATTGTGTAGATTGTTGACTTTTGATTGAGATCATGAATTGATTAATGCTAGACTAACATTGAAAACCTTGAGTTCTAGTGAGAAGCTGTAACTAGTAGAGCTAATCCATGTCGGGTGTGAGGCAGTTACCCACCGAAGAAAATAGAAGGTGGTCGCGCAATATCGTGGATTGGTTGAAATTAAACATTAACACCATTGGATGCCGACTCAGTGGTCTAGAAGCTAGGCGTTTGCACGCGAGACCGGAGGTCCTAGGTTCGAGTCCGATATACAAGGTCGTGGACGCGCACTGCTGAAAAGTCCCATGCTAGGATGAAACAGCCATCCAGTGTTTGAAGGTTTTCAATGCTGGTCTAACATTGGTCGATTATTAATCTCAATCAAAAATCTAATAATTTCTTTCTATTTATGCCTATTAAGTTGAACATAAGTAACTGAATATCAACAATTTCATTCGATAAAATTGATAAAGTTAATATGTTTCTAAACAGAAACTTATCCTTCATTTAATGATCGGTGCAATGATATATTTCACCACGTTCATATAAACAATTAGCTAAAGTATTATACTGTCAATGGATATCAATTTCAAAATAATCTCATTTCAGAAAGGGTTTTGTGGATACTGTAGTAATTTCAATGGTTGAAATCATGAGTCAATTGATATGAATCAACATATGCTCACTAGTGACTGGTTTCAAGAGGTATTTCCTGGAGTTCTAGTGAGAAGCAGTGACCTGTATAGTTCAACCAGGTCTGTTGTGAGATAGTAACTCACTGAAGACATTGGTGGGTGTGTAACTCAATTTCGTGGATTAACGCTGTTTGATGCCGGTTCAGTAGTCTAGTGGTTAAGCGTTTATACACAAGACTGATAGGCTCTGTGTTCGAATCTCGCAAGGCAGGATCGTGGATATGCACTGCTGAGGGGTCATGCAATAAGACGAAACGGCTGACCAGTGCTTTTAGGTTTTCCATGGTGGTCTAGATTCAATTGACTCATGATCTCAACCATTCAAATAATCTCATTTGTTGAAATATTATTATCACTTGTATTTTAAATCGTTTGTAAATCCATATTAATTTTTTTTTCTATATTTCGTTCCTACTACTTATTATTGTCATTATAATTGGTTTTTATAAACGTTACTTTAGAAATTTATATGGAGCGGTAAAAATTCCTATTTTATTAATGGTGATTATGATTCACTTACCATAGGATGTTCTCAGTAAGTGAATTTCGATTTGTATTTTGTTTTGCTTTATTTCCATTTTCTATTTTCTATCCCGATTTTTTCGTATACACATATATGTGTGTATAACTTTTCAAGAGTATCAAGCAAATAGATACATAGAAATACCAACATAACATTGGAAAGTAGAAGTACACGTGCTCTCTACGTGTGATTTAGTTAAGTTAATAAATATTATTCTTTTCATTTTGGTTTATCATTTGACCAAAGTATTTATGGACTTCGTTTAGTATACTAAACAAATTTCTTTTCTAGGTTAGAAATGTTTTTTTTTGTTTAATGGTCTGTATAGTTGTTTTTTTTTTAAGATAACCAATAATCTTAGTAATAATAATGACAATAACTGTACAGATAGAATCAACAAAACATTATTTATTACAATGCTTACTAGATTTAGAAATCGGTAGGTAACCATGAGAACGAACAAAAATTTTGGATAAAGAGGAATTTTGATTGGTCAAGTTGAATATTTAATTTTATGCTACAATATTTCAAAAATTATCTTATATATGGGTTAGTTAAATTACATAGCTTCTTCTGTTATTCCTTCTTATGATAAATTGTCTTAGTAGGCATTTTAAGGAAACTTGAATATATCAACTGATATTAATCTAGTCATTGCAAGGATATATTTTTTTATCAAAAGGGGTTTTGTGGAGATTTTAGAAATTTCAATGGTTGAAATCATGAGTCAATTGAAACTAGGCCACCACGGGAAACCTGTAAGCATTGGATGGCCTTTTCGTCCTAGTATGGGACCCCTCAGCAGTGCGCTTCCGCGATCCCATCTACCCGCGACAATCAAATCCAGGACCATTCAGTCTCGCGCGCGAACGCCTAACCATTAGACCACTGATCCGGCATCCAACAGTGTTAATGTCTAACTTCAAACAATCCACGAAATTACTCCACCGTATACCATTGTCTTCAGCGAGTTGACATCTTACAACAGACCTGATTGAACTCCACTGGTCACGGCTTCTCATTAGAACTCCAGGAAATGCAGTTGAGTCCAGGCTCAGTAGTCTAATGGTTAGGCGCTCGCGCGCGAGACTGATATGTCTTGGGTTCGAATTTTGTGGGGGGCGGGATCGTGGATGCGCACTGCTGAGGGGTTCCATGCTAGGACGAAACGGCCGTCCAGTGCTTTCAGGTTTTCCATGGTAGTCTAGCTTCAATTGACTCATGATTTCAAATATGTTTATTTTCTAAATACATTCACATTATAAAAATATCGAAAAACTTAATGATTCTAAGTCAACTTATTTGGAAATAATTATCAGTTTATATTAGCAGAATGAAAGGAATCAAATAGTCTATGATTTCCAGAATAAGTTAGGATCTTGTTTACGTTTATATTCGAAGAAAAACTATGGGTGTATATCTTTTAATTAAGCTGTTAAAAGCACTAGTAAGATTAAAGCAAATTAACAAATCCATTACGACTTTGATTCAAATCATTTTTACTTATGAAGTGTACATTATTAAAAGCATGATTGATCACCATATTCACTATATCTAAACCCAAATTTTTTTAATGAAAAGCTGTATGCAGTTTATTGCTTTTCCAAGTAATCGTGTAGTATTTATTTGTTCTACCAGACTAGAAAGTAATAATTCACTACATATTTTACTTGTTTGTGTTAAATAAAATGTCGGTAAGACTATAGTTGAGGGACAACATTTGAGCGACGCTACAAGTGACCTTGAGGATATCCACCTACTTACTAGGGCTAGATGAGAGTTATGAAACAGCTTGTAGAATAAGGATAATGATTTACAGTTGATGGTTAGGGTTAAGAATTAGATTTATGGCTTCTATTACGAACTGATATCAACTAAAATGTCAAAACGCTATTTAGACAAATGGATGAATGAATTTCGCGCTGAAATCAAAAACCTTTTATCCTATTTTTGATTGGTTTGTCCATAAATTATAATGTCAAAATATCTCTTGTATTATATACAATGGTATGCGTTAATAATTTGTTAAGGTCTGACTTTTTATAATAAACATTCATTCTCTATTCTGAAGAATTTTTCAGATGAATCAACAGCCAATCATTCTTATTCCAGTAAACAAATTTAACTGTCTATGATGAATATGCACTTTTTGTACAGATTTTCTGAATATTTCCAATATGCTCACTGATTTTAGTGTTGAGAATAGTACTGAAAATGCTTATCAGTTATGCAATTGATTAATGAATGTTGAAGTCAAGTAACATAGCTTAGCAGTGACTTTGTAAAAATAAAATCACTCGGGTCTTATTTGCTAGATCATAGTTGTAAATATCATCCTTCCTTGCTTCCGTATGAGCAACTAGTTAACATTGCTAACAACATCATCCATCAGCTATATATATAAGTACACTTGCTCTTATGAAGCAGGCTACATAGGCCGCACAAAGCGAACTCTTTCCAAACGCATCTCCGAACATTATCCTGCGTGGCTTTTGAAAGGTGACTGTAAATCAATCAATAGTTCAATATTAGAACATCTTGTAAACTTCAGTCACATGACCGCGTTGACATGTCCTTTTAAATCGTCTATATAGTCAGATGATTTTGTCCGCAAGATGCGCAAACTAGTAACGTATGCACTTCTGGGTCACTAGGAATCCATCTTTTAAACCTGAGCTCTATGTGCAAAAGAGATTTGTGCAAGCCATTATTTTTCCATAGCCTTAACATTTAATTCTCTTGAACTGTAATTTGGTTTTATTATATCCTTCTAATGCTCTTAATTTTAGCTATTCGATATTATTATTATCTTCACGTTTTTAGCTGATTCTTTATCCTTTTTATTCCTTCCACTATTCAATATGCGTTTAGTTTAATCTTTAATCAAGCACTATTACAATACGTTTATATGTACTGAATGTTAGAAAGCCAGAGACAGTTAAAAAAAAATTGTACATATTTTAATAGTAACTGGATTTCTAAAGGTTCGTTCAGTTAATTTTTTGATCATATGAGTGTGACATTTTCCTGTTAATAGTAAAAACATGATAATCGTGTATGAAGAATTAGATTCCACTCAATATAATGATGGTGATATTGAGAGCGATAGCTGAAAACTTTGGGTCCTATTGGCTTGAAGTTGTGTTGTAGTGGCGTATTTGCATTCACTCATTGTTTTGCATTTAGTTTGGTTTGTTGGGATTATCTTGAACATTTTATTTCCAAGAATTTGTCTATTCACAAATCATAGTGTATATGTCTAATAACTCATACAACAGATGAAATTCTTATTGCTTCCAGGAATCTGATATTCATCTAAATAATTTCGTCTTTCGGTGCTGACATGATGCGACAACTTGAAGCAATACACATATGTGCTAAGGTATATGGTCTTGATCGACTGTTATTTTCTCTGAGAAACCAGTAGATCATGTGACTGTAAATGGAGAGTTTTATAAAAGAATGAAATATATGTGTACCATATCATAATTTTTAATAATTCTCAAATTATTATAGACTGGTGGTGTTGTACTAGAAAAGACTCGTCACTAAGATACATGAAAGCTTGAAGAAAAAATACCATATTTGTAATTTCCATTCTCTAATCCTCAGTTATCCATAAATATGTGCATGAAAAATTGAAATGAATTCTTACTAAACATATAGGTTTCCTTAAATTACCAAGCAGTTATTAATAATATATCCTAAAGTGTACGTTTTTGTCATTCGAATTCAGTATTACGAACGAGCTATTATCTTTTTAATAATTGGATTCATCAATCGATCTAAGTTAGACCACTATTAAAAATCTAAAAGCACTGAAAGGCTATTTCGGTCTAGTATGAAGCTTTTCAACAGTACTTACTAACAATTCCGTATACATGACTCCAACCTAGAACCCTCGGTTTCACGTTCAAACTCTTAACCTCTAGACCATGGAACTGGCATCCAATATTTTTTTCCTACAGTTTTTTTCAACTTATTTCTTACTTTCAACATTGTTCTTTTTTCATTGTGATCATTTCATTATTTTCTTTTCTACATACTTTTTCATGATTTTATTTTATTTCAGAGGTCATTCAGCAATTCAACTTGATGATAATTTATTACATGGACATAGTGTCAATTGTGAAACATTTGATAGTCCACAATTAACTTTATTATCACCAGATTTTGTGATTACCACACTTGAAATATGGTCATTTATTTAAAAAGAAATTTTTTTTATTTTTTGGGGGGGGAGGGAAGAGAGGGTTGAATTTATTTTATATTGTGAACTAATAATTCCATGTCAACCATACAAAAAAAGATAAAAAAATAAACAAAATCAATATAGATGTAATACACATTTTATTCAATATTTTGTTGTTGTTTGTCGCTTTTTCTTTGTTTTATTTTTTGTTGTTGTCGTTGTTCTTATGGCCTATTTATTTAATGAATTATTATTATTATTATTACTATTAATATCAGTACAATTTCTAAAGTCGTAAAAACTGATTCCAACTTTCTCGTTTCATTATAAATTACACTATATATATATATATATATATATATATATATATATATATATATATATATATATATATATATATATAATAACTATTCTCTTCTTGTGCAATCCTTTTGTATGATTACCATATTCTATTCTCCATTCTTAAAAAAAGGTTCAGTTATGTGTATTTTAAGTTTAATTGTGATACCAATGAATTTTTTACAACAACAACAAACAATAGATTTAATAAATGATCCTATTTATCCAGAACATTCTATTCATAGTTCTTTTACCAAGACGTTTTGAGAGAAACAAAAACAAAAAGAACACAATGTAAAACGTTCTATTTATCAACAAACTTGATTATTATTTGTTTAAAATATTGGATCTGTTCCAATAGATGATTTTATTTTATTTTTGTTTACTACTATCTAATGACAATTAAGTAGTCATAAGTTTCTTTTTTTTTTTCAGATAATTATTTCATGTCACAATTACATATTTTTTTATAATATTCGATTTATTTCATTGTTACTATGTAATTATTTTGTTTAATTCTGTTGAAAGTATGAATACGAATACATTCTATCTATTCTTAGTAATCATATACATATATATACATACTTATATAGAAATGCTTATAGATACATATTCATTTATAGAGTGTAAAAAGAAAAAGACAATTTGTGATTTACCTGTCATTATATTATACTATTCGAACAACAACAACAACAAAGCTGATCATGCACACAGTTTCTTTTTACAATTCAATTGGTTAATTCATTTCTTCAATGTTATATTATTTCCATATTAATAGTAATAATAATGATGGATATCAAATTGTTATTTGAGCACTGAATTCGGAAAGATTCTCTAAACAGTAAACAAACCATTGGAAACAAGAACCAGTGTTATGAATTATTTATCTATTTGATGTCATTATTTAATTGATTTGATAATATTAATAATCTATGTAGTAATGATAATATAAACAAGCATTTAAAATGAGGTTTTCTGATTATTATTATTGTTGTTAGTTTGCAAAATTCTAAAGTCATTCATAGAAATCTTATTCATAAACCTGTTGGTTTTAATCGGATTAGTTAATATCATCTATACTATCTTGCTTAGTTGAGTTTCACACGATAAATGGTTGAGGACCTTCCATGACATAATTTAATTTAGGTTGGCTTAATACAAATATATCCATTCTTTATTTTCTATGTTAAGTCATGTACTTTAATTTATTTGTCACATTGTTTTATGAACTAACATTTGTATATCTAGTCTTTTGATCATTGTTAGAACCAACAATTCATTTGTTATTCACTTTTTAAATTGCATATTTCTGTATTGATATTGTGTGTGGCAAACTGGTCTTATGATGCATATTTGTACAATGATTTGTTTAAAGGTATGTATGTTGCATGTGGAACCATTTTAGAAATAATAAATGATTATTAACTAGACTGTTTATTAATCTAGATTGTCATTATTGTCAGTGATTGACAAAAATTACGGAAAGAACCGATCTTATTATTAAGACTATATTAGTTATTTTTAACATTCTATTTTGTATAGCAAAAGTAAAAGAGATAGCATACTGATATATTATCATTAGAATTATTGAAAACTAAATAATTGCTACACCTTATGATAAAACAATTAATGTTTATCAGCTAATGATGAAATAGAAACGAGTTTTTAGTGAGGTTGCGGCCTGTGATTTAAAGGGTTTAATCGCACTATATTAATTGCGAATTTTGTGTTAAATGTAAATGTTATCCAGAACGCCAGTGAAAGCTTCACAATTAAACGACCCAACTTAGAGAATACGTGACCATTAAACGTCTCTAACTGAGCTACGAACCTCTTTCATCAAACACAGTAGTCAAGTTGGCTAGATTTTCACAAAAATTTGTATCAAATAAAAATATTGTCGGACTGTCGAACAGTTATCAGAATTATTTTTAAGTATATTTGTAGTACCTTAAGTTGTCTGGAGAGTTACCTATTTCATAAAACTGTACACTGCAGTTTTGAATATAAAAATCCTAAAGATAATGTGGAAGCTATTTTGAATAAAATACATATATATATGGAAATGAAGGCACATTGTCTTTGACAAGTTTATGTTCACCCTTAAATCCAATTACAAACACAGAGTTTCTTCCTTCTAAACACGAGAACTAATGTCTTGACTGCTAAAACCTCTTAACTGTTCAACGCGCGTTATATAACTATTATTAACAGATTTTTTATCGTGCAGTAGAAACGGCAATATTAACTATAAGTAAATCAAAATCCTGATCTTCAATTAATTTATGCGGTTTGAAGGAAAAAGAGTCTTCCAATAATTTTCTTCCCTTTAACATTAGTTTCAATAGTGGAATGAATATATATATATGAAAATGAGAAGCGTAGGAAGATGTTTTTCTTAGAAGTAGATATAGTCATTGAATAAATAATTTTAACCAGGAGAATATGTAGATTGACTAATAGAGTTAGAAAATCTTTTAGTTATTTTTAAGTGAAGAAAAGGACATGATGATTGACTTCAAGATAGAAAGTGTAGTTGACAGAATGTCTAATCCAATAGAAAATTCATATAAGTCAACTTGTATCTATCAGGATAACTTTTTCGTAAACTCTAACTAATATATAAGTTAATAATAGTAATTACAAAAAACAAAAGGATAATATTTCATCGCTGAATGGTTGCATAACACCAAATCATTAGCATTATATGTAAAAATTATATTTGAAATAATCTCAGCCATTGAAATCTACATAATAATTCCAACGTTTCGTCCAGCTAACTGATCTGGACTTCTTCAAGGTAATAATCATAATCATCAAAGAAATATATAACCCTTTAACAATCAATCAGAATAAATCTATACTGTGCTAATCCAATCATATTTGGATATTGATTTTAGTAAATAGGAAAACATGAGTTAGTTAAATGCAAATAAATGACAGGAGCGAATTGTCTGTGTGTGTATATATGTATGTGCAAAATTGAGTTAATAATGAATGATATTCGGTGTTAATATGTTTAAAATGAAGAAAAAATAAAAGTGCAATTTGAAGGCTGAAAAATGTAAAGTTGAGGGAACACAAATTGTGTTCGAAAACTGTTCCCAAATCATCGGTTGACTTAAAGAAACTTGAGAATAGGTCTTCGTTAGAGATACATAGGTTAAAGACAGGACAGAACATTAATTTTGAAGGGACCAAAACACTTCAGAAACGTTTTAATACTCATAAAGAAAGATTGGCCGCAGAAGCCTTGTATATATGGGCGAACAAGAACAGCCTGAACCGAAAGGATAGTATTCAACTGGCAAATATTCGTTGACAAGTAATTGGACCCTTTGTTTATTCACCGTGTTTTTTTTCACATGCATCGTTATTTTGACTTGAAATAATGTGAGTTATTTTCAGCAATACAATTTTGTATTTCATGATTCTCATTTTACATGTGCGTCAACAGAAACACTTTTTTTAACGTTCAACACGCACTCAAATCTTTCCTTCATTTAAAACATATTAACACCGAATATCATTCATTATTAACTCAATTTTGCACATACATATATACACACACAGACAATTCGCTCCTGTCATTTATTTGCATTTAACTAAGTCATGTTTTCCTATTTACTAAAATCAATATCCAAATATGATTGGATTAGCACAGTATAGATTTATTCTGATTGATTGTTAAAGGGTTATATATTTCTTTGATGATTTTGATTATTACCTTGAAGAAGTCCAGATCAGTTAGCTGAACGAAACGTTGGAATTATTATGTAGATTTCGATCGCTGAGATTATTTCAAATATAATTTCCACATATAATGATTTTCTCTATACTCGGCGCCCAATTTCTGTAAAACTGTTCATTCTAATCTTGACGAATATTCATATAAATCAAATCATCATGTTTTCGATTGAGATCATGAACCGACTGATGTCAGATTACATTTGGAAACCTGAAAGCACTGGACGGCCGTTTCGTCCCGTTGTGAGACTCCTCAGCAGTGCGCATCCACGATCCGGCTCGCGGGATATAACATATAACAGTCTGAAGATGTATTTAAGTCAATCACATATATATTTTTAAAAAATTCTGATTTTATGAATGGTTATTTTTGTCAAACAGCAAATTCGATAATTATTTAGAAAAAACATTTCTACTATACTTGATCATTACCATATCAAAATCAATCCGAATAGGTGCGTATATTTTGTTCTAATACTAGTAGTTACCAAACTTTCTTTTTAACATTTATTTCTCTGAATTTATTTTGGATGAATAATAAGCACATGAAGTACCGTGATAATAATGATCGGTAATTCCTCAAAAATGTTGTTCTTAAATAAAAAGAATCGGGAAAATATTTCGATCGAACAGTAATCTTGCGAAGCTTCCAAAAGAATTTTAAAAAGTAACAAAGTGTTCCTATTATCTTATTTGAACAACTGTCGAATCTTTTGCTTGATTTCCAGAAGCTACTAGAATCTTAAACTCAAATGTAATCATACAAATTTGTTTGTTATTTTCATAAATAAAATTGAAGCTTCTTCTATAATTTCTGCCATCAATTCACGGGTAGATAGATTTTTCTATAAATGTACCCGTAACAACTACTACCAAAGTAGACGTAACTTATAAAAACACCATCCTCGTTAGCCAGAACTACTCACAATGTTTAAAATCACAAGATCACATAAAACTAACCAGTAAAAGGAGCAATGATCATGTGCATTGTTGACGAATCATTTACCAGAACGAAACAGCTATCAAATGATAGCCTATTTAAGAACAATTTGTAACTTAAACTATGAGAATTCTTCAATCTCCACAAACCTCATTTTATGAATTATGTAATAACTAAATTGTCATCAAGAAAATGTTAAAATAAGACTTATTCTTCCTAACTTTTAATATCATGCTTTTCGTAA